CATTCCTGTGCTCCCATCTTCCGTAACTTCTTTGGCTAAGTTTATTCCTAGAGATTGTTATTCTTTTTGATGCTGTTGTAAATGGATTACTTTCATTTCTGGATTTTTTTCGTTGCTATGTTTTATAGAAATATAACTGGCTTTGCGTATTGGTCTTACATTCTTCAATCTTGCAGAACTCATTAGTTCTAGCAAATCTTTAGTGTATTCCTTCGGATTTTCCAGACATGAGACCAGGTCACCTACAAATAGAGTCAGTTCACTTATTTTTTTCCTTTTATTTACTTTATTTTATTTGTATTTTTGCCTTTTATTATTTTTCTTGCCTACTTGTCCTGGCTAGAACCTCCAACACAATGGAAGAGACAACAAAGATTAGACATCCTTGTCTTACTCCTAATCTCAGGAGGAAAACATTCACTCTTTCACCATCACCTACGATGTCAGCTTGTGGGGTCTTCATAGAGGTAGAGAGTCCCCTTCTATCCCTAGCTTGTTGCGTGTTTGGTCAGAGAAAGCTGCTGGATTTTGTCAAATGTTTTCTCTGCATCTCAGATGGTCTTTTTTTTCATTTGTTCTATTAATATGGAATGTTACATTGATTGACTTTTAGTTGGAGGTTTGTACATTCATAAGTAAAACTGATCTTCAGTTTTCTTTTAATATCTTTGGCTCACTTGGATACTGAGTCGCAGGGCCCCGTGGAGTAAGCCGGGCAGCGCCCGCTCCTCTCCCGTGTTTTGGAAGACTCTGTGAGGACTGCTATTCATTCTTCACACGTTTGGTAGAACTCACCAGTACAGCGATCTTGACCTGAGCTTTACAACATGGAAAGTTTTTTTTTAATGACTTATTTATTTATTTGAAAGGCAGAGAGAGAGAGGAAGAGACAGAGTCAGGGAGATCTTCCATCCGCTGGTTCACTTTCCAGGTGGCCACAAAGGCTAGGCCAGGCTGAAGCCAGGAACCAGGAGTTTCTTCTGGGTCTCCCATGTGGGTAGCAGGGGCCCAAGGACTTTGGTCATCTTCCACTGCTTTCCCAGGCACATTAGCAGGGACCTGGATAGAAACTGGAGCAGCTTGGACACGAACTGATGCCTATACGGGATGCTGGCATCCCAGGCAGCAGCTTTACCCACTCTGGCACAATGCCGGCCCTGAGCTTTAAAATTATTAGTACAATCTCTTTACTCATAAGTTGAATAAGCTCTTATATTTATGCCTCATTAAATTTTGGTAGTTCATTTCCTTCTAAGACTTTGTCCATTTCATATAGGTTATCTAATTTTTTGGCACACTATTGCCCAGTGTAATCACATATATTCCTTTTTATTCTCTTAAAGTCAGATTTTCTACATGATTTCAAGATTTACCATAAAGCTATAATTATAACAATGTCTCAGAGAGGACACAGAAATCACTAACCATAAAAAAATACATTAGACTTAAAATTACTATTTTCTGCTCATCAAAAAACACTGTTAAGAAAACAAAGAGGTAAAACCAAGACTGGAAAAAAAATGTGCAGTAAGTATATCTGACAAAGAACTTGCTTTTAGTATATATGAAACTCTATTTTAGTATATATACATATATATAAATTTTTAGTGTATGGTGTATATATATTTATATATATATAACTCACCTAAGTAAATAATAAAAAGATAACCCAATTTAGAAGAACGTGCAAGGGATTTAAACAGACCCTTCACAAAGGAGATGTATGATGCCAGCGTGCACAGGAGAAGGGACACAACACCATTGACCACCAGATCCGTGGAATTTGAACCACTTCACACCTGCTAGCCTGGATGTAACAAGAAAGAGACAACAAGTGTCGATTAGGACGTGGAATGGCTGAAACGCCCATAGGATGCTGGAGGGAGTGTAAAATGGAACCACCTCTCTAAAAATCTGGCAACGCCTTTTAAAATCAGGCATACACTTACCCAACTACCAAGTGAGGGCTCTCTAGGTATTCACCCTAGAGAAATGAAAGTCTTGGGGCTGGCGCTGTGGCGCAGCAGGTTAACGCCCTGGCCTGAAGTGTCGTTATCCCATATGGGCACCGGTTCGAGACCCGGCTGCTTCACTTCCAATCCAGCTCTCTGCTATGGCCTGGGAAAGCAGTGGAGGTTGGCCCAAGTCCTTGGGCCCCTGCACCCATGTGGGAGACCCGGAAGAAGCTCCTCCTGACTTCGGATAGGCGCAGCTCTGGCCTTTTCAGCCATCTGGGGAGTGAACCAGTGGATGGAAGACCTCTTTCTGTCTCTACCTCTCTCTATAATTCTTTCAAGTAAATAAAATAAATCTTAAAAAAAAGAAGATGGCCCAAGTCCTTGGGGCCCTGCACCTGCATGAGAGACCTGGAAGAAGCTCCCGGCTCCTGGCTTCGGATCTGCACAGCTCCAGCCGTCGCAGCCAACTGGGGAATGAACCAGTGGATGGAAGACCTCTCTCTCTCTCTCTCTCTGCCTCCCCTTCTCTGTCTGTGTAACTCTGCCTTTCAAATAAATAAATAAATCTTTAAAAAAAAAAAGAAAGTTTTATACAGGAGCAGTCTGTGACACAGCCACGTAGCTAAAAGCCTGAAACATCTCAAATGTCTATCAGTTAAATAATACATGAATAAATTATGGTTTATTTACCTACTGGTTCCTGTTTCCTGCTAATGAACACCGTGGGAGGCAACAGGTGATGGCTCAAGTGGCTGGGTCACTGCTACCCACATGGGGGACCTGAAGTGAGTTCCTGGCCCAGCCCTGTAATTGCAGTCATTTGGGATGTGAGCCACTGGACAGGAGATGGCTCACTCTGACTCACTCTCTCTCCCCACTGTCAAATAAATAAATAAATAATTTTTGAAAGAATAGACAGGGGCCGGCGCTGTGGTGTGGCAGGTGAAGCTGCTGCCTACAGTGCTGGCATCCCATGTGGGCGCTAGTTCGAGCTCCGGCTGCTCCACTTATGATCCAGCTCTCTGCTATGGCCTGGGAAAGCAGTAGAGGATGGTTCATGTACTTGGGCTCCTGCACCCGCATGGGAGACCCTGAAGTAGCTCCTGGCTCCTAGCTTCCGATCAGCACACCTCCGGCCATTGCGGCCATCTGGGAAGTGAGCCAGCGGATGGAAGATCTCTCTCTCTCTATGCCTCTGCCTCTCTGTAACTCTGCCTTTCAAATAAATAAATAAATCTTGGAAAACAAAAAGAATAGACATGACCAAGTCACAGGAATATAAATCAGAAAACTGTCTCTGCTCTGGTGGTGAGTTAAGGATCAAATGCAAATTGGTTTGAGGGACATTTCTAGGGTGATGGAAATGTTTACTTTGGTTGAAATGTGTCTCAGTTGATTTTCTGTTGCTATAACAAAATCCTTGTGGTGGAGTAATTGATACAGAGGTTTATTTTGGTTCTGCAGGCTAGGAAGTGCAAGAGCATGGCCTCCTGTTCTTGCTGCTTCAGCTTGTGGTAGAAAGCAGTGGTGTGCAGGGAAGCCAGAGCATGAGAGACAGCCTCACTTCATAACATTCCATTCACAGTAACCAATCCAGCCCTGTGGGAGGGACAAGCCACTCCCTCCTAATGACCTACACACCTGCCAGAGTCCCTCCACCTCTCACACTGTTACACTAGAAACCAAACCTCATCTAAGTCACAGCAGAGTGTTAGCTACACAGTACGTGTGTTTCTCTAAACTCTCTGAGATACACACTACAATGTGTGCATTTCACACTGTATGCATATTAAGCCTCAAAAAGCATTGAGACACATTTTAAATAACAGGTGTTAGGTACAGGTGATGTAATCTTTCAGGTGGCTTGGCTTGATTTTAGCATTGTTACCTGAAGCTCAGGTTGCAGGATTCACTTTTCGTACACCCTGGGATCTGGCCTTTTGCTCCCTAGCCTTGTGTGCAGTAGGAACAGAGCACACCCCCAACCCCTCCCTGCCAGCCCTGCACTGGCTGACCCACAATCAGCAGCTCAACAGGACGGCAGGGTCTCTCCAACAGCTCTGATCTTATAAATCCCCAAACCAGCCCACCTGTCCATGCACTAACTTTCAAGCACGTGGCAACTCTAAGTTGTTCAGAAATTGGCTGTTGTGGTCAACACCAAGAAGCAGAATTACACATATAGGGAGGAAAGAACTTAGGATAACAGTCTGAAGTTTTGAGTTCTAGTCCCACCCACCTACTCCAAGAAACAGCTGAGCAGCATAGGAGAAAAGCCTGCAGTAAAATATGACTTTCCATGTGTATTTGTGGTACAATTGCTGCTATTGTATTCAGTACTCTACACACACACACACACACACACACACTGACCTATTTTTGAAAACTTCACTGTAAATATAGGACATTTACTGGATGGTACAGATATTTTAACTCTGAGTCAGTTAGCAACTCTGGAGAAACATTGGCTTAAGTCTTCTAGAATCCTCCATGGATTCCCTTTGTCTGGATATACAACCAAGATTCAAACCTCACTCTTAACCTGGGCTCAATCGGATTTTAACCGGAGTCTTTTCCAGCTCCCTGTTAGAAAATCAAGCCCTGGGGCCAGCATTGTGGTGCAGTGGGCTAAGCCTCGGCCTGAGACACTGGCATCCTATATGACCACTGCTTCAGGTCCTGGCTGTTCCACTTCCAATTCAGCTCCCTGCCCCTGGGAAGGCAGCAGAGGATGGCCCAAGTGCTTGGGCCCCTGTACCCACATCGGAGACCCAGATGGAGTTCCAGGCTCCTGGCTTCTGGCAGTTGCAGACCTTTGAGAAATTAACCAATAGATAGAAGATCTCTTTTTTCTCTAAGTCTTCCTTTCAAATAAATAAGTAAGAAGGAAGGGAGGGGAGGGGAGGGGAGGGGAGGGGAGGGGAGGGGAGGGGAGGAAGAAGCAAGGGAGGAAATGAAACCCTTGTACCTGCCCCTCATTGGAATCCTTCTGCATGTGAGACCATCACACTCCCCTTAGGAGAGAAACCCCGAGCCTCTCACCTGCTGGCAAAGGTCAGGGCCAGCACCGTGGCCAGGTGAGGCATCAGCCGCAGCGTCTGCATCTGGTGCTCGATGATCTTCACTTCTTCCTTGCCTTTGGGCCCAAACTGCCTCCGGCTAGGGAGAATCACAGACACAACATTTTCCTAAACGCAGTCAGCAACTTCATTTCTAGAGATACATGGGCCGGTCAGGCCTGGCTTTGCAAATCCTCCAGCACACAGAACACCCAGATCTCCCAAACCGCGGTCAAAACAACCACAAGACATCCAAAGTTTCGGAGACAAGCCCAGCAGAAAGCTTTTTCAGCTCTTCTACAAATTACCTCTCCCACCATGGGCTATTTTTAGAGCAATACGTCTAAAACACAGAGTAATTTTTACTCCTTAACATTTACATGACATTTTGTGGTTCCAAGTGCCCTGCGATCATCAATTATTCAGCTTTACAACATACACGACATAATTAATAGGACAGGAGCGGTACCCTAGAACATATTTCAAAAGGCCACTCTCAGCAAGGAGGGCAGCGCTAAGCCTGTGCGCTGTCAGATGCACAGGTGGGTCATTACTTTCAGCCCTAACCCCCCTGCAGCTCCAGGTGGAAAAGGTCCTCTCCAACGCCTCGCTGTAGATGGCTGCCGCACCACTCTCTTTGTTGGCAGAATCAAGGCTTTCTTTAGCGCAACTGATACAGGAGAGTGAGATTGTCCCCAGGGGCAATGCTGGTGGAAAAATCCTGCAGAATCTGGGAGCTGCAGACCGCAAGGAGCCCAGACTTGTTATAAAGGCTGCCCTCTGCCTAGCGCAGCTGCTGTTCTCCGGTCCTGGCTTTGCTAGCATCTTTCCTTTGAACAGCGTGGAGCTTAAGGTTGATTTTGGAAGCAACAACATTTCGCACACATACACACAAACACAGGCATGTGCATGCATGCACACACGCACACACATTGCCACATCATCACACAGGTAGGGCGGCCTGTGCTCCAGACTCTACTGGGGTGAGAAGATCCACCAGCCACTCAGAAAGCGAGCATTTTCTATTTAGTTACGACTTTCTTAAGCGTAAGTCTGGCTTGGCAGTGAAACGGAGGGTCCCCTAATCCATCGAGTGCAGGAAGTTTCAGATGCACAGCGTGGGAGGTGCAAAGGACAAACCCAGAAAGCACACGCAGGGCAGTGCTGGGAGCCCAGGCTTGGTTTCTTTTATTTTTATTTTATTTTATTTTTTACAGGCAGAGTGGACAGTGAGAGAGAGAGAGACAGAGAGAAAGGTCTTCCTTTGCCGTTGGTTCACCCTCCAATGGCCGCTGCAGCCGGCGCACCACGCTGAACCGATGGCAGGAGCCAGGTACTTATCCTGGTCTCCCATGGGGTGCAGGGCCCAATCACTTGGGCCATCCTCCACTGCACTCCCTGGCCACAGCAGAGAGCTGGCCTGGAAGAGGGGCAACCGGGACAGAATCCGGCGCCCCGACCGGGACTAGAACCCGGTGTGCTGGCGCCGCAAGGCGGAGGATTAGCCTAGTGGGCCGCGGTGCCAGCTCGGTTTCTTTTATTTTTAATATTAATTTATTTAATTAACTTACTTGAGAAGCAAGGAAGCTAAGAGAAAGGCATACAGACAGGGAGCTCCTATCCATTGGTTCACTCCCCTAATGTCTGGAAGCCAGGAACTCAATCTGGGTCTTCCACGTGGGTCACAGGAACCTAACTCCTTGTGTCATCACCTGCTGCCTCCCACAGGGCACATTAGCAGGTGGCTGGAATGGAGAGCGGAGCCAGAACTCGAACCCAGGTGCTCTGATATGGGACATGGGCATCGCAAGTGGAGACAGCATGCTGTGCCAACACCTGCTTGTTTTCTTTTCTTTCTTTTTTTTTTAAAGATGTATTTATTTATTTTTGAAAGGCAGAGTTACAGAGAGACAGAAGCAGAGGCAGAGAGAGAGGGAAATCTTTCATCAGCTGGTTCACTCCCCAGATGGCTGAAACAATCAGAGCTGGGCCAGGAGCCAGGAGCTTCCTCTGGGTCTCCCACGTGGGTGCAGTGGCCCAAGCACTTGGGCCATCTTCTGCTGCTTTCCCAGGCACATTAACAGGGAGCTGGATCGGAAGAGGAGCAGCCGGGATTCAAACCAGCGCCCATATGGGATGCTAGCACCACAGACAGCAGCTTTACCCAGTACACCACAGAGCCTGCCCCACTCCTGCTTGGTTTTTAAGAACACAGACTTCTCCCAGGCACAGAGCATTGTCCCAGGACCAGCAGCCCACCCTGTCCTTCCCTCTCCCCAGCATAAAGCCAACTGCACAAGGTGTGACTGCAATCAGAGGCCTAGCAGTCTGCAGGGAAACCCCCCCACTGTGGCTGCATACTGGTGAAACCGAAGGCGACCCCAGAACTGAGAGCAGCAGCCATCACAGCCGGCACTCAGTGGACTGAACTGTGTCCCGACAGACGATGACCCACATGTCACTGTTTGGAGACAGAGTCTGTGGGAGGTGATTACCATTAAATGAGGCCATAGGGCGGGGTTCTCATCAGATGGGAGAGGTAGCCTTGCAAGAAGAGAAATCTGAACTCTTTTCTTTTCCCTTTCCCTATCTCTCTCCCTCATACATATGCACACACACAGCCATACACACATAGACACACATGCACACACATAGATCCACACAAACGCACACACCACATGCACAGACACACACACATACACACACCACACGCATACACACCACATACACATACACACACAGACACACACACATAGATCCACACAAACGCACACACACCACATGCACAGACGTACGCACACATGCACACACATATACACACCACATACACAGACACACAAGGACATATACACCACACACAGAGACACACACTACACACACAGACACATGCATGCACATACAGACACATGCCACACACACAGACACACAGTCACACACCACATGTACAGACACACACACAGAAACACACGCACCACACGCACACACACAGGAACACACAGACACACACAGAAACAGACACACATAACACACATGCACACAGAGAAACACATGCACACACACAACACATGCACAGAAACACACACCACATGCACACACATACACACACACACACACACACCACACGTGCAGAAACACACGCACACACACACGCACCGAGGAAAGGTCTTGTGAGGACACGTCAGGAAGGCAGAAGACAGCCTCCTCCCCAGACACGGAATCTGCCAGCACCTTCATTGCAGACTCCCCGCCTCCCAAATGGCGAGAAGCAGGAGAGCGAATGTCTGACGTTCCAGCCGCCTGTCTGCGCTGTTCTGTGCCGGCAGCCCCAGCTGACGAACACAGTCATTTCACAAATTCCACGCGTCCTCAGGCTCTTTCAACTTTCACGTGTAAATGCCCTGATTATACCGTAGCTTATCTATGATCACTGCGGTGAAATTCTCCTCCACCAAACCCAGACACAGCCACACACACAAACCACCCCTCCGGGCAACATCTGGGTGTCTGCTCTGTGCCCAGGGCCACACCAGGCCCTGGGTATCCCAGCACCTACAAGGCTGAGCCCAGCCACTGAGCTCAGAGCCCAGGGCTCAGAGAAGACCCAGACAAGGAGGTCTGTGCTGTGAGAGCCTGGGGCTTCGCCCTGCCCCGTCATGCCACTGTCAATCACCAGCACCGCACGGTACGCGCTGCCAGAATGTCCTCACAGGGCGCTGGGCTCACACAGCTGCATTTTAAACAGCGTCCCGGCCAGTGCCGTGGCTCAATAGGCTAATCCTCTGCCTGCGGCGCCAGCACCCCGGGTTCTAGTCCCGGTCAGGGCGCCGGATTCTGTCCTGGTTGCCCCTCTTCCAGGCCAGCTCTCTGCTGTGGCCCGGGAGTGCAGTGGAGGATGGCCCAAGTGCTTGGGCCCTGCACCCCATGGGAGACCAGGAGAAGCACCTGGCTCCTGGCTTCGGATCAACGTGATGCACTGGCCGCAGCGCGCCGGCCGCGGCGGCCATTGGAGGGTGAACCAACGGCAAAAGGAAGACCTTTCTCTCTATCTCTCTCTCTCACTGTCCACTCTGCCTGTTAAAAATTAAAAAATAAAATAAAATAAACAGCGTCCCACCAACTTTTCTGTTCTAGATGTGGAGTCTTGGCCCAGCACAAAGCACTCAATACTCGTCTATGAAAGAATGAATGGTTTTGCCAATGAGGAAGGAAACATAGGTGAGGCATGGTGCACTGGGCCCTGAGCCACTGTGCCTCACTTTCCCAGCATAGGCCCACCTTGCACCGGTCCCATTTCCTCCTTGATCTCCCCCTTCAGTTGGGTGACAGGTGCACGGCAAGTGGAGACCACAATGGCCCATGCGGTTGGCCTCGGAGTACCCTTCCCTGGGCTGAGGGGGAGGAGAGAGTCCAGCCAATCCTCTGCTGAGTCACCAGGCAATTTCACAAAAACCAAAACAGCATACAAGACTCTGAGTCCTGATCTCTTTGGAAAGACAGGAAGAAGGGCCACTCTGGACCCCACTCCTATGATGTGACCTGCTGGGGCTCAGAGGTCACCAAAATCGTCGATGAGGCCCTGGCCATCCCCCAAGACAAGACCCCAGAGTCGAGCCTGGCACTGGCATCAGCTGCTGAGTACCTGCCACGGTGGCTTCACTATTTTTATCATGCAGAATAAACTTGCACTTGACCTTGTTAATTATATTCTTGACTAATATATAGCCAGGCACAGGCATTCACGAGCCCGGGACTTTGTTGGGAGAACTCCTGGGGAGTCAACGGCTCAGGCTAGCTTATTTGGAACAGAATCCAAATGCCTGGGCGTGGCTTTCAGAAGCCAACATCATCCTGACTTGAGTATTCCAAGCATTCTTCCAGCTAAGCCCCTCCAGACGCTGTCCCCAGGCTGGGCCTCTGCATCAGCAGGTTCACCCAGAGCCATCTGTCTAACAGGACTCCAATGCCCCTTCCCTGCACAGCGGCTTGTCTGGCTTGTCCACCTGTCCCTTCCTAAGTGGGAATTCTGCTCTGAGCACCCTAGCATTTCCTCTGTTATCCCCTGTCACTTCCCACATAGCTCAGCACCTCTGCAGGGTTAGC